TTTTTTTTTTTTTTTTTTACCCTTCACCAAACAATGCCTATTCACTTTAGACACATCGAAATAAAACACATTGCCCATACACTCGCTACCCAGAAATGACAGTGGTTAACCTTTTGCCTTCTCCTTCCAAGTTCGTTTTTGTAAACTATACAATTCTGTAATCTATTTATTTTTACGTTGCTAGCAGTTAACACTTACCAGTTCCTTACCGCTGACTAGGAAACATGCTACGCAGTTGAATGCGTGGCTTAGTTTAGTACCAATACCCAATGTGTGAAATACAGACAAGCATAATCCCATTTTCCATCCTCAATTGGAAGTAACAGGAATGGTCATGGCTAACAGTTGTGGAAGGCTTACTAGTGACAAAGAATGGTCACTACTGCGGCTCCCATTATTCAGGTGGGAAAGTGGATACCCAGGAGGGGATCCAGGCTGACGCAGCTAGTTGGTGGCCAAGCTAGGATTTTAGTCTTAGACTCTCTGACTCTAGGACCCATAAGTGTGTGACATCATTTTGCTTATTTACCAAGACTCTGTGTCATCCATTTGCAGCATTTCTGCTGGATCCTCGACATCCCCTTGTCTGTCCTCTGTGCTCATTGCCCATGCCTGGAATGGGGGCAGTTTTGCAGAATGAAGTCCGTGTCAGTGTATTCCCTGTTCAGGAAGAGGGACACTTTCCTTTGCCGCTTTGGTCCCTCCTCCAAGACTCCTTAATATAATCGGCATGGGATGGATGTTTATCTCCTTCCAGTAAGTGTATACTTGCCTCAACCTTTTTGGAATCAGAAGCTGAGATTTGGCTAGAACTCTTTACAAAGATTATAATCCAGCTGACAATAAGTTGGCACATTCCAGCGCCCCTCTCGTCCTCATTCAACTGGGTCACCTGGGATCCGTATGGATTAGGAGCAAGGAAACAAGATTTCCGTTGTTTCAAGTCAAAGACTGTTGTTTAGAACCGGTTGGCTTTCCCAGAAAAGTCACTGTCCTGGACCACACTCATACGTGCATAGCCACGTGCGCACACACACACGCTCACCCATACGTATATTTTTGAGGTGAGGTTGCCCTGTATACGATACATTCCCATGCCACTTTGATTAAAGAGCAAAAGTACCATAGGCTCCACGTGTAGGCTCAGGAGAGCCAGGTCAGTCTCCTAGAGAGGCACATAGAGATAATTTCATGGGTAGATCACGCTGCACGGAGTACTCCTCGGCCTGTGTACTTTCGCATCACCGCCTCATTCCTTAGACAGACCTCGCTTTGCAGTAGCCACGAAGGTGTGAGCGCTAAATCCCCCTGGATTGACCGGAGCTTCATCCGTCAGTGGCGGTGCTGACTTAGGAGTCCAGGTAGGTAGGGAAATTTTTTTTTCCCCAGGGGAAAGCCCCAGGAAGGTACACTAGGAAAGAGAGGGAAAAGCCAGCTGCCTTGCCACAGTACTCATTTTGGTGAGATGAAGGATAATCCTCACTCAGTGTCTACTTGTCCTAACATTCCAGTAACAGTTCTTTGGTGTTCTAGCTGTTTATGAGCTAAGGAGATGGGCACCGACTCCTGTTAATAGGCATCTCGTCTCGAGAGACTCCTTGGAGGGGAGGTGGGAGGGAGATGGAGGGAGGGGGAGAGAGAGAGAGAGACGGTGTATTTAGGGAAATATGCATATATGAGTGTTCTCCAAGTACGCATTTCACAGTTGGGCCAGAATAATTAGGAGGTAAATTGCCATCTGGGCATGTCAGTCCTTTTGTTTACTTGTACTGAATTAGTGCCAATTAATAAAGCCCTTGATTTGAGTTTGGGATGTCCCAACTTTTCTTTTGTGAAAAAATAACTGTCTGTCTGTCTATCTATCTGTCTATCTATCTATCTATCTCTTCTGATTGGGGCTCTGTTTGATTTTAGCTGGAGTGAGTGAGTTTGTGGGTAAGACCAGTGGGCAGCTGACCCATCTGAAAGCCAGACCGGGATGGGATGGGGAGGAGAACAGGGTGGGCAGCAGAGAACGTCTTACCACCCTTCCTCAGCAAGAAAATTAAAAAAGATAAATAAACCCTAATCCTGACCTGGGGGCATATCCCATTAAAGATCCAGGTTAATTTTTCCTGCCGATACAACCCTTGAATTCATTGTACGAATTAGACGGTTCCATGGGCCTCATTTGCCAGATCAGATTGTGTAATTATCTTTTATAGGCCTGGGTGTGATGTATGCTCGGTGTTTACGCTGCAGGGGGCTGAGCGTGTGTTTGGACTTCGGAGGTGCTGGGTTTACCTGCCAGGCTGAGCTGCTTCCACACAGCGGGGGTGGGAGCTGGGGTGTCTGCCTGGTCCCAAGCAGGCCCGGCGCACCTGCATGCAACAGACGAGCTGGGGACGGAGTCAGGGGAGCGTCGCTGGGAGGCACTTAGGGCTGGGGCGGGGGGCTCCGGGAAAGAGCAGTGGTGTTGAGGATTGCCAAGGGCCTTCAACAAAGGGTCCGTGTAAAGGGTGGCGAGTTTGGAGGTTAGAAGGAAGTCAAACTCCGAGCTGGATTAGATGCTCGTGACCTTAGGCACTTTTGTCTTCATGAGCCCCTTCCAACATTTAAAAAAAAAAAAAAAATTAAAAATGACATTTTATGATTGCAGTGGTGTAAGGATAGATTTGTTGTTATATAGGCATTCATATTATATTTGTTTTATTCCTTCTAATTTTATAAGAAATTAGAACATTTTCGCGGATGGGGGTCCTGGGCGCTGCCTTCTGCGCTCAGTGGGCATCAGCCTTAGGTACGTGCCTCGAAATGGGACCCAGTGGTTTGGCTTCCTGCCAGCTACTTGACCTGCTCTGTGGAAGTCACTCCCCTCTGACGTCGGACCCGTTCAGAAGGTCCAAGAGTTCTCCCAACCTGCAACCCTTCTTTTGGCCAAAGAGGGGCCGCTCACTTATAGAGTGTTAAAAGCCCGTGTCTGAGCTCGCCTGTGTGGCCTGCCCTCCCCTGGCCTACCCTCCCTCTGCGGCAGTGCGTGGCCTTCCGTTGTCTGCATGACTGACAGCCTAGGCCGTGCGCTTTCTGGAGAGGCGGTGGGCTGGGGTGGGACTGGACGCGTTCCAGGCCAGTGTCTTCTTGTGGCCGCCCCTGCTGGGCCTTTTGTTCCTCAGTCGGAGGGATCCTGGAGGACCAGCCCCCTTCCATCTTGGCTGGAGGTGGTTGGGCCAAGAACCACTAGGTGGTGTTCGGCTCAAAGCATCCCTGGAGGTACCCGGAAGGAACTAGTTGGGGTGGGGGGTACAGATGGAAAGGAGGGACCTTTGGGGGCCGGCTGTGGGCAGCCCGTGGCAAGCTCTGGCCTCCCTCAGAGGTCTGGTGCCAGGCATGGCCTGCTGCCATTGGCCTGTTCCGAGGGAGTGCCATCCACTCCGGGTCCTGCCGTGGTCCACCCTGAGGACAGAAAGGCAGCGGGGTGGGTGTGTAGGGCTCTGTGTGGCGGATGCTGAGCCAGTGTGCCGTGGACAGGGGGAGGCTGCCTCCACGGTCCCCCCTGGCTTCCCGGAGGCCCTGCAGCCTGCCTGCCCTGGATAGGCCTATGGACACAAAAAACAAAGGGGAAGAGCCCCGCTCATTTTAAGGAACAGCGCAGAAACAAACCGTTCTGTTGATCGCCGTGTTTATCTTAGAGTCTGTTTCAGGCTGGGGGTTGGATTGCCGAGAACTGGATTAAGGGGGAGGGGGGCAGCTGTCTCTTGGGATGTGAGTGATGTCTCTCCCCATCTGGCACTCCGGAAGTCAGCTGGGCGGGTCTCGGGGCCTACTGGACAGGCGGTGGGGAGGGTAGGAAGGGTGGGGTGGTGTCCGTTTGCCTGAGGTTTCTGGGGAAGGGGACATAAGGCGGGTGTTTGGGGGTATCCCTGCTAAGCCCTGGCTACCCAGAGTGTGTTCTGTGGACCACCAGTGTTGGGTTTACCCAGGAGCTTATTTCTATGCAGGTTCTCAGGCTGCCACCTCAAACCCATTGAATTTGAATTTTAACAATCTCCAGATGATTCTTCCATTTTGATGCATATTAGACTTACCTGGGTAGCTTAATTTTTTTTTTTTTTCTTTTTAACCCAATGCTCAGACCTGAGTTTATGCCAATCAGAAACCACTGGGAGTGGGACCCGGGCTTTAGGATGATTTTCCAGCTGCCTGGGGGGAGGGGACAGTGGTTTCAGCAGGTAGCCAAGTCTGGGAACCTGGACTATGAGAACCCTTTCTCCCCTCCAAATCTTGTCCCCCCTACCGTAGGGTTTAAGTTTCCCACTTCCCTACTCCCCAAGGTCTGCTCCTACATTGGTTGGATTGAAATGTCTTGGGGCCGGCTGAGCTTAGATTGACTTGTATTAAATTTCCTATCTCCCCTGGAAGGGTAACCTGGAATCATTTCCATTCCTCTAGGCTTTAGCTTGAAGGAGGTTATGGGATGCTCCCCACCTAACAAACTGAGCGTGGGTTGGGCGTGGGGGTGGCGTTACATAAAGCAGTAACAGGAGCAAGAATCCATTCTGCTGCCCGACTTGGAGTTGGAGGGTATGTTGTGGTTTTGCTTGCTTCTTTTTGATGAGTTTTCTAGCATGGGCAAGGCATCTAGTTAGGTCTCGGGTGTTGCATGGTGCATCGGAGCTAAAATGCTTGAGTTCCTTGCCCTGTAGTCAAGAGCCCCACGTTGCATTTGAGGTTGGTCTTGGGATAAGTTGGTGGGCATGGTGGAAGAAGCTGTCCCAGCAGACGTGTGTCCGCAGGCTGGGGGGGTGGTTCTGGGGCACAGGGGATGCTGCCCTGGTGGTAGGCATTGGTTGCTGGGGTTGGCCACAGAGTACCAGCCTGGACCCTGTCCTCTGTAACTCTAGAAACCACGGGAGTGATCCAAGCCCCAAGATGATGTATGTATGTGTGCATCCAGCGAAAGAACAAAACGCCACCCAAACAATCCTCTCCCTTGTGAGTGAAGGTTACAAGTTTTCTGTTTCAAATCTGATGGTATTATTTTTCCCCTTTTTTCTTTCTTCTCTGTTTTCATTTGCCAACCTAGGGGTCTAGAGTGATTTCTTTGAGCCTAATGATGGGGAAGCTTAGAATGGGGCTATTATCTTAAACACCTTTTGAAATACTACTCTTCCTGGTGTCTGAATCAGGTTGGACAGAGGTCGGATTTAAAGATTAAATATCTATTTTAGCAGCAGCAGCAACTCTGCTGGTAACCTTGCACGTTTGCTTAGGAATTATAGGGATGACACGCAATGGCCTTGCACTCCAGAAACTTAGAAAGGAGTAAATGAAAGTATAGCTAATAAAGATAGGGACCGGGCACAGAGCTAGATGTTCCTTATGTGCTATCCCATGTCATGAGTTCAGATGTGCCATGAGGTCAGAACATAAAAAAATTCAGAAAAGTATCATGTAAAAGGGCCCCCCAAAACAGTACAACTCAGGACTGTGGCAATAGATTATTATTATTATTATTATTATTTTTGGTAAAGGTCCACTGTAAATTTGTTTTAGCTTGGAAAAAGATTGCTATCCAATGTAATATTCATTTCATTTTCTTGTAGGTCTGGGTATTAGGATGATCACCTGTATTTCTTTGAAAGTATCCTTCCCGTTTGCCATGTCTGTGACGAACAGAGGAAATGGATTTTTGCCTTGATTCAGAATGAATGCAGTTTTATTCTATATTAAAGACTAAACAATTATTGGGGCGCCTGGGTGGCTCAGTTGGTTAAGCGACTGCCTTCGGCTCAGGTCATGATCCTGGAGTCCCTGGATCGAGTCCTGCATCGGGCTCCCTGCTCTGCGGGGAGTCTGCTTCTCTCTCTGACCTTCCTCCTTCTCATGCTCTCTGTCTCTCATTCTCTCTCTCTCAAATAAATAAATAAAATCTTTAAAAAAAAAAAAAAAGACTAAACAATTATTAAACTCCTATGTCCTTGGGAGGTTGGCTGGCATTCAGAGACTGCTCCCTCTGTATTTTAAGTTTGAAGATGAGTTTTACTATGTTCTTTCTGGGTCTAACTCTCCCTTCTTTTTCTAGGTGAAATCAGAGGTGTGAGGCTGACCTGGGGAGGTGCTCCGAGCCAAGAAAGAAGGATAAGAAAGAAGGTGAGTGGCGGGCGGTAATCAGAGAGGAGTCACGCCCCTGCTGCTCCTGTCGCTCTGGGGGTTTTTATTCCTTCTGCAGCAAACCTCCTTTTCCCAGACATCCCTACTGCACCTGCACCCACATGCGAGCCCAGAGGGCTGATTAGCAGGCAGGAGCCTTGCAGTTAGCTGTCAGAGAAGGTCCAGAGACACAGGTTAATAAATACTAACAGTCATTGCAGTGAATTCCAGGTGGCTGGGTTCTCACGGCGTCTACCTGGGTAAACTCGTTCTCACCTCACCAGCGGGTGAGCATGTCATACCCAACCTACAGATGAGGAAGCAGAGGAACGCTTCCTCACCCGGGGTTGCCTTCTATCACTGCCTCCTTCTCTAGGCTGCTGACCTTCACTTCCCTAGCCCTCGGTTTTCCCTTCTGTAAAATGGGGACAATGAAAGAGCCATCCCTGCCATGTCGTGGCATGAGATGAGAGGATTCAGGGTGAAGTGCCCGGCATAGTGCCTGGGATGGGTTAAGGACAGAGTTAATGTCAGCGGGGTTTTTGTTTTTTGTTTTTTCTTCGTTAGCTCTGGATAGGATCTTGGGTGGATTATTAAGCCTCTGTTTCCTCACCTAGAAGATGGTGATGCTGATACCTTGTCCTCAGGGGAGGTCGTGAGTTACATGAGATAATACAATGAATACCAGTAAAAGTCTAGACCATGACAGATGCCCTATCTCTTCCCTTCCTTATGTATCTTACTCCGCATGGATCAGGCAGAAGGAAGATGTCCAATGGTGTTAACTCCTCCATCCTCTAGGACACTAAATCCTGGCAATTGCTCCCTGGCAGTTTTTGGATTTGATCCTTCCCCTCCCTTCTCCCAGCCACCCTGTTGATCTTGACTTTGGTAGCACAAGCTGGGATCCTCACGAGGGGCTCCAACCTTTGGATTTCCAGCCTTTCTTTCCCAAAATAATCCTACCTGTGTCTTCTCTAAACTTTTTTTTTTTTTTTT